AGTTTCAGGAAGAGTGACTGTTTTGTTTCTAATCTGAAGCAATAGGTTTTTGACAAATCGTATCACCCACGCTGTTGACCGGAGTAACCTTATCCATTTCGACAATCTATCGATTTTTGGCATACTTGCGTTAGAGTCATTGTCTATTATGACGGTTAGGATTTCCATGGGACTTTCTGCTTAATTTTTATACTGAAACTTTTTATAAATTGGCTAATCACTTTCGTGTCTAAAATATAAGAATTCAGGGCTTCTGTACCAACCGTGAAAGTTGAGTATGTTGAGATCACTATTTTCCCTTGCGTATGTTCTGGTAGCCTGATCAGCAGCATTGAGTTTGGAGGGTATCCAATGCCAGTCACACGCTTCGGTAGGCTCTTGGATCTCCCCAATTCTATGTGCCTTGAATTGTTCCAATTTACTTCATGTTGAGTCTTATTGCATTTTATTTTTGTCTCCTTTTTTGTTGTTGTTATATTAATTTAGTTTAACCCTGTATGTACTTATTTTAAGAAAAGTAGTGACATTAGTTTTGACATGTTGACTAAATATATTTGTTGAAGCTCTAGAAAAAGTCTGAGTTTTATTATTAATATTATTACGAAAAAACGAAACAGGCAATGTAATGCACGTTTTTGTATGGAAATATAATTTATTTTTACATTTTAAACATACTAAAAATAGTACACATCTTAAGCAGTACATTTTAAAGAATTTACATCATCTACGGGACGTGTTTTTTGAAGGGTACATATTACACACATGAAGATTAGTAAAAAATTATACGAGCCACAGTCATCTCTATAGTTTGTGTACAATATCTAGCACCTCCCCACTACCTACGAGCTCACAAAGAAAGTTCCAATTTAGTAATGCATGAACTATTGTGGGGTATGGTTCTCTCTAATTAAATAAAGACAATATTTACTTATTCCCTGATTTAATAATTAAGCATTGTTAGCAAGTGAAAAATGAGAACTTAATTTAAAATTAAATCTTAATATTTTTGACCGTTAAGTTTACCATCAATGAAAAAGGGCCAATAATATGGTCCCTTAAAATACCAGTATAAACATTTAATTTCTGAGGATACTGTGGCCATGTCGGAATACTTAAATGTTTATTGTAACAATGTCTCACTACGAATGGAATCTTTGTTGTGCAATGAAAACGTTGTTAGTTAGAGATTTTTAATTGTCAGATGGGTAGAAAAGATTGTCAAGAGTGTTTATTTTTTAAGATGTAAATATTAATTTGCATTGTAATGTAGCGCAGTTTTTTTGTGCAGGAACATCGTATTATATTGAGTAAATATTCTGGAGCTGGTGGTAAGTCCAGAGTATTGGATAGTATGAACTATTTTTTACATATCAACCCCATTCTTCTGGGTTAAATATTTCTTCAGTATATTTCCAGATTATAATTTTTTGGTAGATGTTCCAGTGTAACACATGTTTTGGCTCCATTTCCCTTCACATTCGATGGCGCAGTCATACAAAAGAAGCATTTCTTTTCTACCAGCGTCAGTAATATTAAAATATAGGTATGAATAAGAACAAAATATTTTAGCAACAAAGCGAAGCTCTCTCTAATTTTGATTAGTTTTAGAAATGCTGAGAATTTTACAATTGCAAAAAATTATGAATGTGGTATTGCATCAGCTCAAAAATGGTCTGGAGATGCCTGGAACAATTGAATGAGCCAGGCGAGAAAAATAGAGTTACACTCACTTGGGCCCGGGACATAACGGGGTACAGGGTAACGAGATTGCAGATAGTCTAGCAAGGAAAGGGACTCAAACACCCTTTTGGGACCTGAGCCGTTCTGCGGTATCAGCAGTAACATAATATTAGAAGACATTAAAAAAGATTTGGGCAGTAGAAGAACCGATAATTGGAACAATCTCTTGGGGCTAAGACAAGCTAAGATATTTCTGGATGAATATAACCAGAAAAGATCGGAAGCTTGCATCTGCCTGAGCAAAAACAGACTACTTATTGTAACAGGGATCCTTATTGGGCATTGCCGACTAAAAGTTCACCTTAGTAAACAGAAGGTAGTAGAACATAGTGAGTGCAGATTCTGTGAAGAGGACGACGAAACTTCCATTCACATTCTAACTGAATGTGTAGCACTCCAGAATCCAAAGGCACTAGACCTAGGAGCATATCAAATAGAAGAGGGAGATTTACCTAACTTGAAGTCACTCCAAATCCTACACTTCCTTGAGAAGATAGGATTGGTATGGTCGTTATAGGCATTGAGAATTTCCTTGCTGCATTAGCGACATAAGTTGGTATAATAAATCTTTTAGGTCGCAGTGTATTAACACCCCATTCTCAACATAACATCCCGTGAAAGCATACAGAAATAGATGCAAGTTGTAGTTTTCCCTACCTAATAGAGATTACATGTTGCTGATATATAATGGATTGGGAGATGATCCACGTCTTACGCAATACTACAGCTTAAAACTATTATTCTTTGCGTGATAAAAAAACAGAATCAGCAGATCGGCATATTTCCCTATCATAGTAGTAGATATGAACAGGTTCTGAAGATGAAACTGCTGCAGGAACAATGTCCATATTACGTTATGAACAGTACATACTTGTTTCTTTAGCAAGTCACCAACGAGGGAAATGTTTGCTTGTTTGTTCTCTCCATTGTATACACGGCCATTATCCCTATTTAGTGCGCCAATAATAAAAAAAAATTGATATTTTAAGAACATGTTTCTTCCACACACTATTGTTCTGTATACATTCGTCCTCTTATCTGGCTTCACGCCACCGAGAACGACAGATAAATAAGAGAGTAATATGGGTAGAAAGAGTGCGCTTTTAGTCTTAAGTGTGGTTGACGCATACATCAGCATGCGAACACTTGTTGGAAAAGTACGTGTTGTTGTTTATCTGTTGTAATCCAAGAAATTTTTCAAGATGGACTGTGAAGCTTCATGTATGTATTTCTTATTCAAGTATAAACAATGTATTTATTTGTTTCTTGCCTAATAATAACGGCAGCTTTTGGTGGACTTAATTTTATTCATTCTTTTTTGCATAAAAAAAAATTGCGTCCCCGACTGTCCTCTGTCTGATACAAGTTATTTTGTTTGGAGGTAGTCACAACAACGTTGATCCGCATCTCCCCAAAATCACTAGAAATTAACTTTTTTCTGTTCTACAAAGCGATAAATTCTTTTAAACTGTCAACTGTTAAGTGCATTGAAAAGGTAGAACAGTACATATTAATAAAATTTAATACATCAGAAATTCCCACGTGCTTGTAAAAACGTTTTAAATGTGCTATAAAGATATTTGTGTCGAAATTTATCAAAAAGTGGAAGATATGCAAAAGTACAACCCGCCAGATTCACCAAAAAAAATATGCTTTATGGATAGATATATAATAATTCCTAGATTGGACTCTAATATCTGTGCAACTTTTCTCCGCGCACAGAGAAAAAAACGAAAGAAATTCATAATTCGTCATATTTTGATTCATGGCTGTAGGTACACTCCAGAAGAAGCATTAGCTTGTAAGGTTGTATCACTCACGGAAGACATCGAGATTAAAACCGGACAGAGACATAATGAATAGAATGCTACTGCCATCAGACCCCGTGATTACAAATACAAAAAAAGCGAAATAAACCCTTTCAGAAGCTGTACTAAGTTAGTTACTTTTTTAAGTAATAGTTTAGATAATGTACATAGTGATATAAATCCAAATAGTGACTGATAATTCCGAATAAAAAATAAATTTCTGTACATTATTTGTATTTCGGTTAATTATTAAAATAATGACGTAAGGCGTCCTCAAATGGTATGTGCATTATTTTCACGTATTTTAGTACTGTTATTATAAATGAATAAAACTTGACGCCTTAATTAGATAATTAAATAAAATTTAATTTATAAACCACTTTTTATACATTTTTATGTGAAATGTGACCCTGGCAGTCTATTCAACCACTTACACTTACATTGTTCTTTCAATTAAATCTAAGCAAAAAAATTACTTTGAAAAATACAACTATTTTTGGCATGCTAATTCTCGCTAATTGCCGTATGTGCATTGGTAAAAACCTGTTTCTTTTTGCCAACAAAATTAATGCGAAGACTAAAATTAACATCTTTATAGGTTTTTGTGTACCGTTGTATGTAAGTCGCATCCTTGATTGAAGGAGATCCAATGTAGTTCTTATATTGATGTAAGTTGTACATAAAAAACAGTAAAAAAATCACAGTGTAATAAATATAACAACCTTCTTCGCCATTTTGAAATCCTTTTTTTTGGAGGGTTCCTCTGATCGGATTTTGTTTGATTTTGAACATGTTGTTCAGTAATGATTAGTGATTAAAAATTAATATAAAAAGCTTTTGTTGTATTTTTTTGTCCACGTTCACGGTATTTTCAATTAAGTTTGCCTGGACAAATAGGTTAGAATGGGATTTTCAGAGCTGGGTACTCACCTATATTTACGTATCAGCCTGTGTTCGTTTTCAGATTCACTTTTTAACTGCCCATCCATCCATTTTTTTTAAATTAAAATTGAACCAGAAAATGCTTTTTTAACATTAAATATCTAATTATTTAAATGAAATTTTATTAAATATTTTGATTTGTCAGATTCAAAAGCTACTCACAGCCACCTTGGATGAGCTTTTAAAGGCGCATTTCTTGGTTATTTGTTAACAGAATTCGATTTTCTAAAAATGGTTGAAAATATAAAAAGTATTAAATAAAATTTAAAAACCCAAAACATGGCGTTATTTAAATTTGTGTGGGTAGTTGATTTGATACGGTTTTGGCCCCTAAAAGATAGCTTGTTCAATTTAGTCAAACCATATATCTCAATTTGAGCCTGGATATTTGGTTATAATTGCATTTTAATTTGACAATGATAAAAATTATTTCTATGAAAATTTCGAACATTGTTGCTAACAAAGTTTCTCGTAACAAAGCAGACATAGAAAGCACGAATGAAAAGTTACCCTTTGCCAGTATCATAGCCCCACTTATAAGAAAGAGGCCCGTCATGGCCCACCATATGAAACTCAAGCCTTTCACCACCGGGTGATTCCACATTTGCAGCTGCGTTAGTAGGTATACCCAATGAGTCAATTAATTGAGAGCTAAGCCCTTGGTCATAAGAAACATTCTTTATTTGATTGCTTGAAATTGGTGTAGAGTCTGTAGAAGGTGACGAGGGTTTCTTATTTCTAGGCGGAAGCATCTGTTGGGAGTGAAAAATTAGTAAGCAAAAGAATAAGATTTTAATGGTTGATTCTATTTTTTTATTGTGGTTTCATAGTACTTAGAATAAGACCGCCCAGTAATATAATCATATTATAATAATAAAATCACAAAATCTGTACCGCATATAATTTTAGTAAACATTAAATTAGTAATGCGACTAATTTCGGCCTTTAAGGCCATCCTCAGGCCTGCAATACAAATCTTATGTTGATAGGAGAAAAATAAAATCTTTAACTTATAAAGATGTTATTAGACTACATGGTGTCAGCAGAACTACAGCCGTTAAAACGTAAAGTTTTAAAAACCATGAAGTACGTCATTTATGATCAGTAGCTACAATTCCAATTTTCAAGTTCCTACTTTTAAAAAAATCGATGTGTTCTTACAAACTTTCACTCCCCGTTTCCCCCCCTTAAAATGTAAAAATCCAAAACCCTAAAATATGTCATTATTTATTTATGATGTAGTTACAATTCCAATTTTAAAAAACCGATATTCCCATACAAACTTTCACCCCCATTTCCCCCCTTTAAAATGTAATGTATATAAAATCTTAGTGGTTGTCTAAGTCGAGAAAGGAGTAACTGTGTCAAATTTCAAGTCAATCGGGCAAAGAAGCTCTAAAAAGGCCAAAGGTTCGGAATTTTTTACACTATGACCGATCGGAATGCGGTTTTTTGCGTTCGCTTCCAAAAATTCTTTTGGAAAAAGGGCTCCTACTTTTTATCTTATACAAACTGAATATTGCAGTGCTGCAGACAAAAATGCATTCAAAAAATGCATTTTTTAAAACGGCTTTTGGAAGATTATAGAACTTTGTAAATACGAGTCAGAACTGGCCCAAATCGAGTTCCTGGAGATTTTTGATGTCGCTGATCACGATTATGATGTTCAAATTGACCCACAGCCGACCTGGAGCTCAGGAACGCCGATGAATGTCATCTCCGGGGGACTCTCCCGAAGTTCACGCGGGGAAGGAGAGAAACTCGGCGCCCAGGGTTTTTTTGGGTAGCTAAATTCAAATATGACATAGGCAAACACGCCCTAGACACCTGATGTGCCGGAACCTGGACGTGGACGTCATCCCCGAGAATTTTCCTGACAAGATAGCCAAAAACAACCCGAAAATCATTGTGGGGGCGTTTTTTTGGGGCGCCGAATCCAAATTTTACGTTAAAAATTACCTCTTAAATACCTGGTGCACCAGAACCTTGACGCGAAGCTCATCTCCTTCGGTTTTCTTCACACAGTCGACTCGTATTTACAAAGTTCTTTAATCTTCCAAAAGCCGTTTTAAAAATTGCATTTTTGGTTGCAGCAATGCAATTTCCGGTTTGTATAAGATAAAAAGTAGGGACATTTATCCAAAAAAATTTTGGGAGCGAATGCAAAAAATCGCATTCCGATCCGTCTTAGTCTAAAAAATTCGGAACTTTTTGCTTCAGTGCTTCGACTACAGTCAGTCAGTGGTATTATAGATTTAAAATGTTATACCTGTACACCAATCAATATAAAGTTGCCAAATTCATCCGTCAGACTAGACATTTCAGACTAAAAAACATTTGCGGCGTTTGAGAATACACATCAAATGCATCTGAGATGTAGTAAATATTTGATCACGTGATTGAGTTGAGTTGACACCCGATTTTTAACATCAACCGCTTTTCGAACTAGACACTGTATAGCGCAAATGCTCCAAAACGAACTAGCCGTTGCTAGATTCAGCCTGTTTCCATCTGATTGACGATGTGGGGAGGAATTTCTTTTGCGGCTCGTACAGAGTTAGTACCAGTTGTGGGAGGAAATTTAACAGCTGCAAGATATGTAACGGACATTCTTGAACCCTATGTTGTACCTTACGGTCCATTCATTGGTGACAATTTTGTTTTTATGCAAGACAACGCTCGCCCGCATACAGCTTTAATTGTTCGTCAGTACCTTAACGAAGTTGGTATTCTCACATTGGATTGGCCAGCTCAAAGTCCTGATTTAAATCCAATAGAGCATGTCTGGCACAATTTATCACGACATGAACGAAATCGACCAATTGTTCCTAACACCTTAAATCAACTTCAAAATACTCTTACCGAGGAATGGGACAATTTGGTGGAACAATTGATGAAAAGCCTGATTTTAAGTATGCCACGTCGATGTCTGGCAGTTCTTAGAGCACGGGGTGGTAATACAAGGTATTAATTTTGTTTTATTTATCGATTGCATCCAAATTTCTATTTTTAAATTTGTAAAAAAATCGAATACATTTATTTGGTCCCTTCTTAAGTTTTAATTTTTTGCCATTATTGCATACAAATAGTTCTTAATTTATAAGACACTAAACTTAAAAAAAAAGAAATTTGAAATGATGCGTTAATTTTTGTGCAGAGTGTATATAAAATTGTCGCGGGGCCCGACCTGGAAAATTGTCCCGGGGCCCGACCTGGCTCTCAGCGGCCCTGCTGACCAACGGACACTTTACCTTTCGTTTGGCTCGGTGTAAAATCCATTATACCTTCCTATCGGCGATGTGGTGTCCACTGGTAGATATTTTCTCCACCATCTATTTAGCAGGAGTGAATTACACTCGACATGTGTATAAGGAATAAGGAGGAAGTGAACTAGGTAAATAAAATAGTGTAATTGACACTGGTGCACACTGCACCAACAGCGAACGAAAGAACCTTATATGTGTGATGTGCAAATTAAATTAGGTGGTTGTTCTTATTCCATGTAGGAACGAGTCAACCGGACCTGTCCAATATTGGGCACTGTCCGGATTTAACACAACTTCCCCTATATTTTTCGCCTATCAACATGTGATTTCTATAATAAGCCTGAAGATGGCCTTAATGGCTGAAACTATCTTTACGGGTTAAATTTTCATTACAATTATATTGTGGTACAGATAATGTATTTTTTATTTTTTTTTTTTTTTGAATAGCTGTTAGGCCACATTCGAGATAATGGATTATCTTTCTTCATTAATACAGAGTGTCCGAAAATTGCATATACATTGAGCTACCACAGAAATATGGGCTCAAAATAAGTTGTATTCACCTAACTTACCTATATACCAAGTTTTTTTTATGTGTCACTTTTTGAAATTTCAGGCAATAAAATAGGAAACTACGGAAAAATTCCGGACACATTGTGTAATCGTACTGAGTAAAATTAGAAACAACGAATTAACCGTTATTCAATGTTTTGGAGATTTCAAGAAGGTGTATTTTTTACCTTTTTGTTAAAGCCAGGTTCTAAAAACCAAACGTTAAATGTTTATCCTTTGTCGAAGTTAAAAATCTATTTGAACTTTTAAAATTGTGTTAATATAACATTATTAATTCTACCTTGATAAGTTTCTGGTTTTCCTTTTTAGCCAACTTTTCATAGGCCTTCTCTAATTCTATCTGCCTCTCTTCGTGCTGCTTTACTGGAATCGTTTCGAAAATAACTTCTTGTTTCGGTTTCGACGAGATTGGCTTATTTTTTTCATGAACAACCTTGTTGTACTTTTTAGGGAACTCTTGTGTAGGCAACTCTTGTTTGCTAATAATGGTTGGTACTTCGTAGTAGAACTTTGGGTTATTCTCGGGGTTCCAAAGTGTATCTGCAGGTGCTACTAAGTCTTGATTTGGTATCGGGGATATATAGTCATATGTTGCTGAGGATTCTCTGGGAGCTTTAAGGAAAGTTTCCGGTTCTGGTGCATAGAAAAGTATTGGGTTTTCTTCCACTTTGGGTAATTCTAGTGAGAGAGGTAGCGGTGTTTGAAAGATCTGGTATGTATCTGCAGGTGCATCTAGACGAGGCGAGTAATCTTCTTCGGATTGATCTGTTGATTTATCTTTGAGAGGTATGGATGCGCATAAAGTTATGAAAGCTACTGCCGTAAC